TAAACAACCGGGCAACTTCTTCTCTCAATTATCGACGGTCCTCGGTCTTGTGGCCATGAGTGCCATGATATTTACACATCAGGTTAGGATCTCTCTGGGTAGGGTCGGACTGCAATGGTCAAGGCCACTTGGTTTCCTTGATACGACCAATGGCTGATACGATGCTGGCTGCATCGGCGTTGAAGTTATACTCTGATAATCTTGGTGCTTCCCTTCCCCCGAGAGGCCTGTCGAAACTATTTTTGCTCATCAAACCTCGGCTACTGGACCCTCGATCGCTTCTTTTTTTGTTCCTTGTAGAATTGCGCCCGGGCCCGTTTCCCCTTTGATCTATGCTGTATGGTTGATACTGATCTCGTACCAGCCTTGATTCATGATCAACTACTCTCTTAGACATGCCATTGGTTCTGGTGGGATAAACGGGCCCAGAAGGGACTCCGAGTTGGTCGTTCTCAACTCTGATTTTTGACTGGTACCTGTTGTGGATGTCGGACCAAGTTACCGCTGAGTACTCTACCAAATTGTTTTTCAGCTGCTGCGAGCCCAAGGAGCTTCGGGGGTTAAGTCCTTGAATGAATGCCTGAACGGCCCAATAGTACGAAGCCAGAGACAAGTCCATCCGTTCTATTTGAAATCTTGACACGAACTCCGTGAGCATCTCGTTGTCTCTTTGCTTAACCTTGAAAAGGTCCAATTTTCTGGTCTTGACCTTGATGGCCCTGGCATGAGCATTTACAAAAGCATCCGCGAGTATAGCGAACAAATCAATGGATTTTGGGGGCAAGTTGTGGTACTATATCATTGCTCCTTATGACGGAGTTTTCCCAAACTTCTTTAATAACACTGACTCGATTTCATCGTCTTCCAAATTGTTATCTTTGATGGCACATATGTAGGATGTCACATATTCATTTGGATCCATGGTTCTGTCATATTTTGGAATATCGGGCATATGAAACCTCTTAGGATTGGCTTCAGTGTCGCGCTTGGAGGAAAAGGCTTTTGGATAAATCTTTTGGAGTCCGGGCCTTTCAATATTTGAGGTGCTCCTGGGATTTGATCGACCTAGGAATTATATGTCTCCACCTTCTTACCGTTTGCCTCAATTTTCTTTTCACCTGATTCCACCCATTTTGTTAATGCTTTGAGCATTTCATTACGTCAGGGCTGACAACGGACTCAGCACCACCCGGCCTTTCGGTGATCTGCTCATTTCTTCGGGTGTTTTCCGGGGACGGTTCGGGCTCAACTCTGCTGGGGGCGCGATTTTGATTTTTGAAGTTGTGCTATCACTGCCTGTTGAGCATGCAACATTTTGAAGATCAATCGTAGACTGACCCCGTCGCCTTCGCCTTCGGGCGCTTCTCGAGTCGCCGGTCGGTCTCCTCCACGAACGTTGTTCTCGGGGTCGGTAGGCAGTTTGGCATTGATGGCCACCTACGAGTTAGCATCGACTGGGCCTGTGACTGAGCTCCGTTGGGATCAGCAGGGGGCATCTCATTGCTAGGTACCAGATTGTTGTTCTCGCCATGATGGCTAGACTCAGCCTCAACGTTCAAGTGAGCAGACTAAGAATTTGACATTTCTAAATTGACCTGAAATTGAGACCTTAAAGAACAAGTGTAAAAAAGAGTGTGTATGGAGATTTGTATCAAACCACCACTATTATCCTTAGCCCCACAATGGACTCCCAACTATTTACCCTTAAAACGGATAACAATTAAATTTATACACGGTTTTAAGGATATGTGAATTGATTCAACACAAGCAATTAAGAATGTTAGATAAACGAATTAAAGATGAAACAAATAACCAAACCAGTTGAGACGTTGAGTCCGGGCTCAGATTTAATCTTAACAGTAGTTTTGCCCTCGACCGGACCCTCGATTCGAAGCCAGATGTATAAGGAGAACTATGATTAAAATGAAAACCTTTCAATAGCTAGAAAGTAGAGAAATAAATTTTGTATTGTCTTGATATGCATGTTATAATGTATTTATTGAATAATAAACTTTCCCTTTATATAGTAGGGGAGTTTTACCCCTAGTACAATTCTGAAAAAGGTAAAAATTCTCCTTGTACATCAATCACTAATATTCTACCGACATCGGGAGAGATCCGCACCGTGATATCCGGTTGGGTGCGGATATCACAGCCCTCTGTTAGTCGTGTGCAACCGTTTGTAGTGCTTTCTGGGGACTTGGAGCTCGTTCTGGGTTTGGGGGGTATTGTCTTGTCAGGCCCGGTGGCGAGCACCCATTCCAGCCTCGATTCAAAGAGTTCTCAAATTCGATCTCTATCTCATACATTCATACTTCTTACTTCATTTGACTCACCAAGAACTCAGGGTGTGTGCTGACCCCGAGTTCACCCATATACAAGATTAATGAATGTAACACATATGTGTTTTTTCATACACATATTTACAACTTTGTCTTAGTTGGTAAATTCTACTAGAAGGTTTTGGATTATCTTATCAGTTTGCAGGTTTTAAAGATATCAATTACATTTCCTAAATGTCAACAATTACGAGAAAGAGAATGTTTGGAACTTTATACACCGTGCCATAAAACTTGATACAAGGTATCCAAAATGACTTCTAGTTTTGACTGGTTTACCAAATTTATAACTACTTCTAGGTTTTTGCAGAATTGATTTAGGGAATTCATATTGTCAACAACAACAACAACAACAACAACAACAACCTAGTGAAATGCCACAAGCAGGGTCTGGGGAGGGTAGAGTGTACGCAGACCTTACTCCTATCCCGAGGGAGTAGAGAGACTGTTTCCGATAGACCCTAGGCTCAAGAAGACGAAAATATGAAAAGAGAGACAATATATCAGTACTATCAACAGAAAATAATAGAAATAATGATAGTAACATAAGAACTAGAGAATAGATGCAAAGCACTAACAATGACGAGTAAATAAGACCCGACGTGTGAATACAACATGAACCACTAGCAGTCTAAGACAAAACTCTATCAGACTATCCTCTCACCTGTGCAAAGTAGAAAAATGCCCAACTACCTCCTAACCTACAACCCTAATGCTTGACCTCCACACCTTCCTATCAAGGGACATGTCCTCAGAAATCTGAAGCCACATCATGTCCTGTCTGATCACCTCTCCCCAATACTTCTTAGGCTGCCCTCTCTCTTCTCGTACCCGCAAGAACCAACTGCTCACACCTCCTTACCGGAGCATCTAGGCCTCTCCTCCATACGTGCCCGAATTATCTGATCCTTGCTTTCCTCATCTTGTCATCCAAATGGGCCACACCCACCTTCTCCCGAATATCTTCATTCCTAATATTATCCATCCTAGTAAGCCCGCACATCCACCTCAACATCCTCATTTCTACTACTTTCATCTTTAAGATAGGTGAGTGCTTAACTGGCCAACACTCAGCCTCATACAACATGGCCAGTTTGACCACCGCTCTATAAAACTTACCTTTGAGTGACAGAGGCATTCTCTTGTCACACGGTACTCCAGATGCCAGTCTTCATTTCATCCACCCCACCCTTATACGGTGTGTAACATCCTTGTATATCTCCCCATCCCCCTAGATAACCGACCCAAGGTACTTGAAACTGCCTCGCTTGGGGATGACCTATGATTCAAGCCTCACTTTCATGTCCGCTTCTCTCGGCTCTGCGCCGAATTTGCCCTCCAGGTATTCCGTCTTAGTCCTGCTCAACTTAAAACCCTTTGAATTAAGGGTCTGTCTCCAAACCTCCAACCTCTCGTTAACGCCGCCTCGCATCTCATCAATCAGAACTATGTCATTAGTGAATAACATACACCATGACACATCCTCTTGAATGTGGCATGTCAGCGCGTCTATAACCAAGGTAAATAAGAATGGGCTGAGCGCAGATCCTTGGTATAACCCCATAACAACCGAAAAATGCTCTGAGTCACCTCCCATTGTCCTTACCCGAGTCTTAGATCCATCATACATGTCCTTAATCACCCTAATGTAGGCAACCGACACACCTTTAGCCTCCAAGTATCTCCAAAGAGCCTCTTTAGGGACCTTTTCATACGCGTTCTCCATGTCAATAAACACTATGTGCAAATCCTTCTTCCTATCCCTGTACTGCTCCACCAACCTCCTAATAAGGTGGATAGCTTTCGTAGTCGAACGACCCGGCATGAACCCGAACTGGTTATCGAATATAGACACTGTCCTCCTCACCCTCACTTCTACCACCCTCTCCTAGACTCTTATAGTATGACTTAGTAACTTGATACCCTTATAGTTGTTATAACTCTAGATATCATATTTGTTCTTGTACAACGGAACCACCATGCTCCACCTCTACTCATCTGGCATCCTCTTCGTCCTGAAAATAACATTAAATGGCTCAGTCAGCCACTCCAATCCTTCTCTACCCACACACCTCCAAATTTCTACCGGGATTTTGTCTGGCTCGGTTGCTCTACCCCTACTCATTTTACGCATAGCCCCCACGACCTCCTCGACCTTAATGCGCCTACAGTACCTAAAGTCTTGGTGACTCTTAGAGTGCCCCAATTCACCTAGCTCAATGTACCGATCATTTTCTTCATTCAGAAGTCTATGAAAGTAAGTCTAACATCTCCTCTTAATCCGCTCCTCTCCCATCAATACTCTACCGTCCTCGTCTTTGATGCACCTCACCTGGTCCAGATCTCGATCCTTCCTCTCTCTCGCCTTGGCTAGTTGGAATAACTTCTTCTCCCCGACTTTGTCCCCCAGTTCCTCGCACAGACGACCAAACGCCATAGTCTTAGCCTCTGTGACCGCCAACTTTGCCTCCTTCCTAACTACCTTATACATCTCTCTGTTCGCTCTCTTCTCCTCCTCTCTCCCTACTAACTTCAGGTATGCCACCTTCTTCGCTTCCACTTTACCTTGGATCACTTCATTCCACCACCAGTCGCCTTTGTGCCGGCCAGAGAAACCCTTCGAGACCCCTAACACCTCTCTCGCTGCCTCCCTTATACAGATCACCGTCGTCGTCCACATAGCGCTCGCGTCCCCACTACTCTTCCAGGATCCCATATCGATAACCTCCCTTCCAACTCCTGGGCTTTATCATTAGTCAAGGCTCCCCACCTGATCCTCGATTGACCTCGTACAAACCTTTTCTTCCTCTTTATCATGATACCGACGTCCATCACCAAGAGCTTATGCTGCGTCGCGAGAGTCTCACCTAGTATAACCTTGCAATCCTTGCACAACCCTCTATCATACCTCCTGAAGAGGAGATGATCAATCTGAATCTTCGCCACCATGCTTTGAAAAGTAACCATATGCTCCTCCCTCTTCTAAAAACTAGAGTTCGCAATCACCACCTCAAAAGCCTTAGCAAAATCCAACAGCGAAGTACCTCCTCCATTTCTATCCCCAAAACCAAAGCAGCCATGCACCTCGCCATAGCCGCCAGCGTCGACCCAATATGACCATTGAAATCCTCTCTCATAAATAACCTCTCAGGAGGCGAAAAACCACGTACAATCTCATCCAATCCCTCACAAAAGCGCCTTTTAACCTCCTCATCCAAGCCCGATTGCGGCGTGTAAGTGCTAACGACATTGATGGCGTACTCTCCGACCACTAACTTGATAGTCATTAATCTATCATTCACCCGCCTGACCTCTACCACAAATTCTCGAAGATCCATATCCACCAAAATACCCACTCTATTATTACCCTTCAAAACTCTAGAGTACTACAGGTTATACCCATCTGTATCCCTCGCCTTCGATCCTACCCACCTAGTCTCCTGGACACACGCTATATTGACCTTCCTCTTCTGGAGAATCTTCGCCAGCTTTATAGACTTACCCGTCAAAGTTCCTATGTTCCATGACCCAATTCTCA